GGTCTTGTACGACATGATCGATATTGCGGCTCTCAATGGGGTACAAGACCTACTCAGCATTCAATAAAGGTGATCGTATTGAATACCTGAATAAGCTTTCAAGGGATTTGATGGCTTATAATTGATTTTATCTTCATGGTTTGGTTGTTTTTATGTTTTATTGAATCTGAACTGTTTCATTCAAACTGAGCTGTTTGAACAACACCAACGTTTTTTAGCGACGAAAAAAATTAAATTAGGGGTTATTATACCATTTTTATTGTAAAATAAACTTTTATCCTTATTATAAACATGATAATCTGTTGTTAACAGTGTGTTCAACTTCCATAAGTGAGTGCATGGTGCTTGTTAATCCGAGTATTCTTCTTTCAACAAGCTGTTTGCATGGGCTTGTTTTCAAAATGATGATTTTAATATTTTAACTTTATTTTATTATAAGCTGTTCTACCTAATTATAATTTAACCATTTTATTGTAGTAAATTATAGTTTGTTTTTTCATATACTTTTTATTGCAGTTTTTTTAACTACTTGTCTAAGCAAACAAAAAAATAAATATTGGACTAAAAATGACTAAAAATGGGGAAAATATCGAGTCATCAACGTAAAGTGGTAGTCTGCACACTTTTTCTAGCGTGTGTAATGGTTTCCATACTTGAGTCGAGTCGAAGTAACCGTTTCCAAGCCTAGGAAAACCGTTTGAGATGAAGTTATCTCTCTTTTGTTGCATTTCCACCATTCATAGTCAAGATAGAGGCTTGGACAGCAGCACCATAAGCAATAGCTTCGTCTGGGTTCATACTCTTGTTTGGCTCCTTTCCCATTGAAGTGCTTACAGCAACTGACGACATTTGGTATCCTCAATGATAAACCAATCAGCACAACATCGTCAATGCTTCCCTTGTCCAACTTGGCGTCTTTCAACATCTTCTCGACAAGCTGGATTGTCGACTTGAAGAGGTCGATGTTCAACTCTTCAAAATTTGTGATGCACCTGTTTGTTGAGGATATTTTTGTGGAAAATTGAGTTTGATTGAACTCTTTCTAAAAATATAAAAACTGTTACAAACTATCGTTTACTATAATTTTCATTTTTCTATTAACAAATAAACTATCCTTTTATAGTAAATTATTATACACTGTGGTTCTTATTATTTCTACTTGGAGTTTTTGGAAAGAAATTTGGTCTTTTGTATTTTTGTGTTTACTTTAAAAATACCTTTATTTTTTTAACGTGTTTCTTGTATGCTGCTCAAAAATGCATCCCAACGAAACAGACGAGTATGCCATGCAAATCTAACTTTTTTGTACTAAATAGAATAATATTTATTTGAAATTGTTCCAATAAAGTAATTTTTGGCATTTGTTTTTGGTTGGCAATGATAAAAAAACAGAAGAACAAACAATGAATTTATATCTTTGATCCTCGTAAGTGATACGAACCAAAATTCATACACCAAAGTCAAAACCTTGTTGTGACAAAGTATGAATCGAGTGTCTTCAGTTTGGCTGTAAAACGTTTTTTATGATTTTTTTTGGTTTTGCGATTTTTGATACTTTTGAAAACGTATTTTAGTTATTTTTTGTTTATTTTACACTTTTTTTCTTTAAGATTTTTTTTCAAAGTTGGAACAAACAAAAGTGTCTTTACTTCTTATCTTTTTGTATTATAGAAAAAATAGTAAAACCCAAATGTTTAAATTTTTGTATATCTCAAAGTTTACAATAAAATCTATTTATTTTCCCTTGTTATTTTTTTGAGATCAATTGCATATTGAAATTTCAATACACCTCAAAGTATGTGATTGATTTTCTTTTCTTTGTTATTTTATGATGCAATTGATTTTGAATATTCCGGACCAGATGTTTTACATTACAGTTATCTCTTTGTTATATTTTATAGTTAATTTTATTATCGTAATAGGTTGTGGACATCTCAATAAAATTTTGATCTGACTTTTTTATTGAAATGTGACTTGTTTCAGAAAAGATCAAGCAAAAAAGTGAACCTTTGTTCATCCCAACTTCAATAAAAAATTCACTTTTTTACTATAATTTATAATTTTTTACCATAAAAATATATTAACTCAGTCATCCTATGAAAGTTGGAGTAATTAAAGAAATAAAAGTCTAATTTACTTGAAAAATAACTAATATTACACAAAATCCATTATTTTTGGTTTTTAGAGTCCTCAGAGGGTTATTATTTAAAAACAAACCTATTGAAATTATTGAAGGGTTTCAAAAACCTATAAAAAACAACAAATAATAAAGACTGATAATGATGGCGACAATGATGTTACTGATATGAAAACGGAAAGAAGACGGAGAAGACGGAGAAGACGGAGAAGACGGAGAAGACGGAGAAGACGGAGAAGACGGAGAAGACGGAGAAGACGGAGAAGACGGAGAAGACGGAGAAGACGGAGAAGACGGAGAAGACGGAGAAGACGGAGAAGACGGAGAAGACGGAGAAGACGGAGAAGACGGAGAAGACGGAGAAGACGGAGAAGACGGAGAAGACGGAGAAGACGGAGAAGACGGAGAAGACGGAGAAGACGGAGAAGACGGAGAAGACGGAGAAGACGGAGAAGACGAAATAGATAAATTTGAGAACAGGCATATTTAATCAGCTCATCGAACATAATTATGGATCTTGTATTTTAAATGAATATTAGTTTAACTTTCGTTGTTTTCTATTTTAATTTATATGAAAAAGCCTAAAAATAATTAATTTTAAACAGAATATCTAAAAATATAAGTCAAAAACTTACATTTTTTTTCTTATTCCCAAAAGTGCATTATGGGGGTTTCCTTTTTCTTTATACACAAGGAAAAGATTGTAAAAAGTTAAAAATGACTTGTTTTTGTTCTGGAAGTTCTACCAAAATCGACAAGGGATTGATCATTTACAACCCGTTTATCACACCCCTATACTAGGATAATAATTTAATTTCATATGATTTTCCTATTTTGGCTAGTGTATTGATGCAAACAAATAAACTTCTAAAAATGGAAAATGATTTAATAAACATGATATTTCCCATTTTTTTGACCACTTGAATTTTATTCAATGTTATTTAATGTGTTAATTCTTAAGAAACAAAAACACAGTAGTATATAAATTATGCAGATTTAGGACACCCTCCATTTTCTTCAATTTTTTAAATAAAATCGCGAGGGGGGACGGATCTTTTAGATCCTAAGGCTCAGAGAGCCGCACGCGAATCTGAATTTTCACAAAATTCTGAAATATAGTAAATTTATAGTAATGTAATTTTTTATCTTCCTTAAAATGACAGAACAGTATATGAGTGAACTTAATTATGATGAAGATGTTGATAATTATGTTAAATATGATTTAGGTAACAAATCCTTATTTGTTG